GCAGAGATAATATTGTGTCGGGTATTATTACGATACTTGAAGGTATTATTTAACAAATTGAAAAATATTTCAAAAAAATATATAGTTTTTTGTTTTTTCTGATTATTATTTTTATTTGTCTTTTTTTGGGGGGTTGTTTTGTTTTTAAAAAACAAGATTTACTGAACGAAAGTCCCGATAAATTTGATGGATTGCTCTCGGTTTTGCCATCTATTTGGGCATCTGTGGACATTGAGGGTGTATTTAAGGAGAGTAACATTTTTACTATGGCTTCGGGAAACACAGGAGATGTATTGAAATTCTTTTTATATGCTGAAGAGGTAGGATTACTCTAAATTTATTCTAATAATTCAACATTTTTATTCGGAAATTTAAAAACTCTATACTACAGGTGAATTCTCATGCGTTGATATTATGCAAGCTGAAAATTAATATACATTTAGCATCAGCTAGCATTAATATTAAAACAGGGTACTTGACGCAAGATAAAATTATCTTTGATGCACAAGAAACAGAATTATTTAAATATTCACAACGTTTGCAGAATTTAAAGAATTTGATCATGTTTGATAGTTTATCTTTATAACAATAAATTTCTATATTGAAAGAAAATTTTGCCTAGGGAAAATGCCAGATACTTAATTACCTTAATTAAATTTCACATTCAATAGAGATTGGACTCGTCAACTTATGATTCGAATAACTCGATTCATTTATTTCGCTAATAATTTGCAATAAATTATCCCTTACGCCCTCGGGATCTGCAGTAGATCGGATACCCAATCAACTTAATAAGTACCACAGTTATCGTTATGTATTTTATGCTAAAATAATACGTAGGCAATAAATGATCGACGGGAAATAATAAATCTTCAAACTACGTTTGACATTTGCACACTAGTGATACAAATCGAAAATCGGTGGATCGATTAGTTGGTCTAGTTAACAAATAATCGACTGAAAATTTTTGAACTAATTAATCGTATCAATCAGCTAATCGATTGAAAATTTTTGGACGATCTTGTTTACTAGTTTAGGTGTTAATTTTTTTACAAAGTTAATTCATTGGTTTCTTCTTTTGGCAGCCCATATACTCCCATCAAGGTTGTCACTATACAATGTAACGAAAAAAAAGTAATTAGCGTATGACTTTTTTTATATATATAGTGAGTCTAATAAGCCACAATTTAACCTTGCTCTCATAAATGGAAAAAGTAGAGATTTTATGCTGTGGCTAAGATTAAATTAAGACAAATTCTGCTGTTTCTGCTCTCTTCTTCAGTTCTAATTTGGTGCTTTATGTGCTTACTTTTCTACTTTTTATTCCGATAATTACCGCTCATCTTTAAAGTTCGTTAATCATCTACCTTTACAATTGTTCTTTTGTGGCGATTTTGTGGCTTTTTGTGGTGATTTTGTGGCTTTCTGTGGTGGTTAAGGTCAATCTCCGCGATTGGCTGTTTTTTTGCCGTTTTCTGTGAAACACAGTAAATCATATAGCGATAGTTCTTTTAACATATGTGTCGACAAACTTCTTAATAATATGGCCTCTAATAAGGATTATCAGTATCAGACATTTTTAGATAATGAGCGAATATACACCTGCTCTAAATGCCACACACATCTTGCCGAGCACAAAGAACTCATTTCTAAAGTAAGATAACCTTGATTTCATTTTATTAACAATAGTTTAAATTATTTATACTTCCTCTGCAAATAGGCATTCCAAGGCCGACTTGGACGTGCATACTTATTTAATGCTGTGTATGTCTTGATATATCGCCAATAACCGCGGTCTTGAAAGTGTATATTAATTGAAGTTACTTTTTACCATAGTGAGAATGTTTGTCTTGGACAAAAAGAAGATCGTACACTTATTACTGGAGTACATACTGTTAAAGATATAAGTTGTATTGGGTGTAAAACTGTTATTGGATGGAAATATGTAAGTAATAATCATGCATTCAATACTATTAAAACCTATTTTTCATTATTTTATTCATTATTTTTTCAAAGGTCCATGCTTTTCAGGAAGATCAAAAGTATAAAGAAAATAAATATATTGTTGAAAAAGCAATGATTCTGAAAGAAAATAATTGGGATGAATTATGATGATATGTTATTGTATACGAAGCGTCCATGACCAAAAACTAGACGAAATGGTAGCTGCACGATAAACTTGCTATGTAAGAGTCTAAAAAAAAAAAAAAAAAAAAATTCAAGAAATTTATTGGAAAATAATCAAGTAAAGTTTTTAAATAAATAAATACACATAATATTTTTGTTACTTGATAAATTACTATGTTGTTATTATTTTTTTAGCTAATTTTTATTGATTTTACTATATAGGATTTAGTTAATACAATATGGAACAGCTCCACTATTCATAAAGTGCCAATGCTAAGAATTTTACAATTATCTCTTGATAAATATTGTTCGTAACACGTTCTTACATAATGCTATCATCTGAGAAAAATCGAACTCTAAATTTTTTTTATAGAAATAATTAACTTAAATTAGTTAGAATGGCTCTTGGAAATAGTCATCACATGGAAATATAGCACGGACAGTACTTAAGGGCCAGTGCTGTGTAATGTGATCACGTGATTTTAGACTTCATACATCGGTTAATTTTTTCCAATCTTTAAGCAAAGATATCCCAGCAATAGCCTGGGAAACAGTGACGCCTAAAGACTTTTTCGAATTCTACGTGTACAAGATTGTAGAATTCAAAAATGTCCTCAAACATCAAAATTTGTCGGGTCTTTGCTGAGATATTTTACTCGAAATTGGAAAAAAAAACTTCAACGATTAATAATTTGAGAGAAAATATCTGACTCAACCCTATATGTAAGCGTTCTTATTTTAAGCACGTGCTAATAAATAAAATCAATTGCTTATCACGCGCTAATATAGATGACCAATTACAAAGAATTAGTATGATCGCATTTAGAAACGGATAAGCCCTAGAACATAATAAGAATTTTTATAAGATCGTTTAGGTTATAGATTTTTTAAATCAAAAGCGTTTCTTTCCGTTAAATTAGTTTATTCTCATTTTGTAAGAAAGCGCCATACATAATAACTATTATATTTAAAGATATACTGTAAATTTATACTCAGAAAGGGATAATTTCAAATTGATTTGAGCGAAGAACATTATATATGCGAGGTACTTAATTTCCGCATCGCCTTCCGATCTCATCTCATGTTGTAGTTACGGAATTGATATTGTCCATAATATTAGCATTATCAAATTGAAAATGTGCATATATGGTGTAAGAAAACAGATAATTTTATTAAAGTAACCATAATAAATTTTTTCCTAAAACATTTATATTTAGTATTAGAAATAATAAACTATATAAATTTAATAAATAAATTAACATCGTAAAATTATTTACATGATATGATGATGTTAAAAGAAAAAGAAAAAATAGTAATTTTAAAAAAAAATTTCATTAACATACGTGTCTATTGTAATTAAATTAATCAAATACAAGATTAATTATTTAGCACCACGTTTCTTGTCATGATTTTTGACTACTTTGTCCATTTGTATTGGAGGAAGAAGCCGGTGGCGGATCAGTAGGACAAATACCATCCCTTTTCCACCCACTGACCATTACTTTAATCTGTGAAAATAAAATTATAAAATTCATTTAAAAAAGGTAACATTTAATTTTGAATTGACAATAATTTTATAGTAAAAACGAAAAGTATTAAACGCATACACACCACATAAGATAGAGGAATAGGTTTTACTAACTTTTTCTTTTCATGAACTAGAGAATCGTATATGGAATTATAATTATTTGGAGTAATATTCATCAAAGCTGGATTATTTCTATTATCAGAAGTTTCTGAAAGGTTCTGATTCCCGCGAGTCCATAATTCTCTTCGCTTGTTCCAGATATCTAGCCCTTCGTTAACAAACTCGCTTGTAGATCCGTTGTCGTTATTCTCTATTGCGACTTCACTTGTTGACGTACTTTGCTGTTGTATTTCTTGATCTAAGGTCTCTTGTATTTCCAGTTTATCGTGAGTAACCTCGTTCGGAACATAATCGGAAGCATTCATTAACGTTGACGATAATTGACTTTTTTCAAGGATATCAAGAGTATTTATCACAATTCCGATTGGAAGACCCCTTTATATAACTACCCTGATCGACAAAAATTTAATCTAAATCCGTGATAAATAACGATAAATACATAAATATGTTTGTATTGTACATGACTAATGAGTAAGTTCCAAATGCGTAAATTCGTGAGAAGGAAACTTTAAACTTTTTCCCGACCGTTTTTTTTACCATTTTTTCATAATATAAAAAAAATATTTTATTTATAAGATAGTTCTAAATTAAACATGTGAAAAAAATGTCAGCACAATCTCTATCTCAAACAACTTCAAGACGTCTTCCGACGACTTACCATTCAGTTCACCCTGGTTTTCATGCAAGAAAACAACAAATTCTAACTTCCTTAACAGATTCAACAATTGCTCGAACTGATAATAATATTAATAAATATTCATCTAAAGTGTCTTCACCATTGATTGATGAGACAATTTTTCCGATACTTGAATTAATTAACAAACATGATGATTATATTGTAACAAGTAGTTGCTCTGGTAAAATTTCAATTATTTCTACCTGTGCTAATAGTAATAAATGTAAAAATTCTAAGAAACCTATCTCGAGTAAATTGGAATCTTTAATGACAACTGGTAATATTAATCAAGATGAAATTGAAAATGGAGTTGTTTATAGACATCAAGATTATTTAGGTGAAGATGAATCAGATTTAAAATTAAATGAAAGAGGAGGAGGAGGAGGAGGAAAACTATTATTTGTTTCTCATTCAAAAGTTGAATTACCTAAAGAAAAAGGTTTAATTAATAATTTCTTGTTGAAAATGATTTTTGGTGAAGAATTTGAGAATGTAATATCGTCAAATAACGAAAGTTATAATTTATTACAAAATAATGATTATAATTTGATTTATTTCAAATTCGAACCAATGGTTTGTATATATATATATATATATATATTTTATTCTTTCTCTTTGGATTTTGAAAAATTTTTTCATACAGATTTCTTTTTAGATTTTGCATGCTGAAGCACGTACTTTAGATGCTGCAAAAAACCTTGTTAATTTGGCTGTTGAGGTCGGTTACCATAATTCGGGTATGCTAACCACCTCAAAAAGGCACATGGTAGCAATTCGTAATTCTATGAAACTTGAAACTCCAATCGCGTATTTAAATTTATCAACTCAAAAAATACACCTTTTGGTGGATTTATCTTATTTGCATTTACTTATTAATCTAAGTAATCAACATTTTGAGGAGACACTAAGGAAAATTAATGATTTATTGAGTACGCTTGATAATAATCTTTTTGGAAGCATGGGAAGTGGTGATGATGGGATTAAAAGATTAAAGGATGGTGGAAAAACATGGGAACATAAAGAAGAAAGGAGAGAACGAAAAAGAAGGGATGGATTGGCCAGGCAGATTGGATTGAGAAAAAGTGGTACTTTAAGTGATGGTAACGATGGTGATGTGTCAACTGTTGATGACGAAAATCAAGGTTTAGATAATTTGGATAACGTATGATAGAAAAAATTCTGATTATTTAGTATAAATTATAAATTTGCTTTCATATTATAAGTTGTTATTCAGTGAATACGATTGACTAAGATCCAAACACAATTAATGTTTTAATATCTTATATAATAAATGTTGGATCGATTTTTTATTTCTTCATACTCGAATTACTTTCTATTAGATATACTTGTATTAGAACTAGGGAAATCCGCCATGTCGATCACGTTAAACGTTCAGCTATGTTTTTTTTTATTAACAGTTAAGCAAAAGCGACTAATTAAAATTTTGTCTAGACATGTCCAATGTTCAAACGTCCAAAGTGTTCAAGCTGCCTATATTTTAGTAATTAAAATAAAATTTATATAATTAGACCATACAAAATTAATACCTTGGTTTCCATAATCTGGCCATGTCAGTTTTCGTAGACCTTTGAAAAAAATTTCATATTATAAAAATCTCCAAATATTTTTTTTTTAGAAAGTTTCTTTTTTGGTAAAACTAAGATGAAGCTATATCTTTATTTTTATTAATGGTTTAATTAAAAAATTTATAGAAAGCTTGTTTAGAGTAATTCAATTTATTTTTTTGTTTAAAATGTTCTGATATTAGTACTTGTTATTGGTTATGTTATATAAGTATACAACAAGTTATATATACAATTTTTAGTTATTATCTAATTTAAGTAGTTTACTATTACTTTTGATACATTATATATCATAAAATAATTTAAAAAGGGAGGCAATTATTTCACCAACACTTATTTTACTGACTGTGTCATTTCACTGACATTTTAGCCTGATTTAGGGTTAGGGTTTAGCCAGTTTTATATTTTCAGTGAAATTATTGTCAGTGAAATAACATGAACCCTTTAAAAGTTATATAATAATATTAAATCTAATAAATATTATTTTAAAATATATTCTTAAGATTATATATACTATCTCTTAAACCATATTCCAGGTGAATTTGCTTAGAAAATTAAAGAGTAAATACTATTTTTTAAATAATTTAATAAAATATTAATGATATAAGATCTATATTATATATAGAATATAGAGAATTGCTGCTGCTGCGGCAGATCACATTTGGGCACCAAGTAGGTAGCCGAGTGAGTTCAGAATTGCAAAGAAGAGGGTAGTTTTAGAATTAAATAGTTTTAATTTTCTGTATTTGTCTTTGTACTTATTTAGTATATCTCTTAATAAAATGAAAGGCAAGATCGCCTAAGTATAAAAAAAAGAATATAGAGAATTGCTATTTGCACTATGGATATTTGTAGATCACCTTGATTTTATTTTTTTATTTACAAATTCTTTAAAACTTTTATTAAGGATATCTCGACAACTATTTGACCAAATTCGATAAAATTTTTTTTATTTGAATTCTACAAATCTGTAGAATTCAAATAAAAAAAAATTTATCGAATTTAATCAAGTGGTTGTCAAGATATCTTCGATCAAAGTTATGATAACAATTTTGATATAGCTTCTTTGTGATAGATGTTTTATAATTATTTAAAACTTTGATCAAGGATATCTCAACAACCACTTGACCAAATTTGATGAAAAATTTTTTATTTGAATTTTACAAATTAGTAGAATTCAAATAAAAAAATTTTCATCGAATTTAATCAAGTAGTTATCGAGATATCTTTGATCAAACTTATAGCAATAATTTGGTATAGCTTCTCTATATGATAAATGTTTTAAAATTTTTTAAAACTTTGATCAATAATATCTCAACAACCTCTTGACCAATTTCAATAAAAATTTTTTTATTTGAATTCTACAGATTTGTAGAATTTAAATAAAAAAATTTTCATCAAATTTTATCAAGTAATTATCAAGATATTTTTAATTAAAATTATGCTAACGATATTAATATAACTTCTCTATGTAATAGATGTTTTAAAATTTTTTAAAAATTTAATTAAAGATATTAAGGTCTAGTGATCTTAGTATAGTAGTTAGGTTATTAGACTGCTATACAAGAAGTTTGGAGTTCAAATCTTACTATTGATGAATTTGAATAATTATTTAGATCTTTATATCTAACTTATAATAAACCCTATTCGTTTCTAGAGTTGTAATCTTATAAATCTTATTGTACTAATATCATCTAGATATTAGAAGTACAACATAATATTGCATGAATAAATTTTAATAGGATCTACAAACAGGGAACTTGTATAGTAGAAACCTTGAGTTAGTGAGGTAGTATAGCTTTTGATAGTTATACTAGCTAATACTTGATCTGAATAAAAACTGTTATTCAAAAAAATATAGATTGAGTTAGGTATAAATAAGTCTATTCTATGAAAAGTATTAGCAATACTAATTTGGCTTGGTAGCTAAATAAATTAGGAAGATCTACCTCATAAAACATCTAAAGAGATTAGCAAACAATATTAGTAGAGAGTTACAGTAGGAACTAGAGTTATACAAATATCATAAGAGTCTAAACTAAGTGAACTCATGAAATAGACATAGGTTGTACTAGTAAGAATACTTATAAGATTAACTAGAGCTCTATGTACTCACAATATATTAAATAAGATACATCTTGAGAAGATCTAAGCTAAGTTAGGTAAATAGATCTGTAATAAGCTAACTAGCTTAAGCAGTTAGATATTATAGTAACATTAGTTGATTCTAGTATAAGTTAGTTAGATAAAGTATTTAAATAGGTAACTCACAAGTAGGTTACAGATATAACAGATTATATAAAACTAAATAGAGAATCTATCTGTATAGCAGACTATTTAAATTAGACAATAATTAAAGTTGTATATATAGCGAGTTGTATACTCTTTATATAATTATAAACTATAGAAGATTGTTAATAGATGACCTCATATATTAACTAATAAAATCCATTTGGTATAGTAAACTATCTAAATTAATAAAAAAAAAAAAAAGAAAAAATTGATAAAAAAAAAATCATTAGAAAATCAATTTTTTTTTTTTTTTTTTTTTGTTATTAAGGCGGCTTACATTGCCGAAGGAATTTTATTAGAATTGCATACGGGATAT